TTAGAGAGATCTTTCTCCTTTCCACTTCAAACTTTTGCATTGCGAACTCACATGACCTCCTTCGTATTTTTTGCGATGTGTTAGTGAACACTTCAATTTCACACGATCTGTTTTGTTACCGTTTTCATCGATCAACTGAAAAATCGTCTTATTACCGTAATCATAGCACTAAACTGTTGATATTTTACACCACCCTTCTTTCGTATGTACTATCCGAGTCTCAGCGCATCTCTCGTTCGATTCGTTTTTCCTGAATCCATCATCTATGAACCTCTTCAAACTTTTTACATGTGGCTTCGGCTGCTGCTTTATGGTTTTTCGTTCATAATGAATGTCATTGAATGATGGTCGAGTCGATTCTGCTTGAAGTCTTGAGAAAGCCGGGTTAGAGCGTCTTTCCAGGATTGCAGAGAGGAAACTTTTCCTGGACAAATCCGGGATTAATTTCCCGAAGCCGTAAGAATAAGAGACTTGGTGAACCCGGAGCGGGTTGAACCAGAACCGTGGTCGTGATGAACGGCATCAATACCATTGTGCTATCTGCCACTGGATTGCTGTTAATACCACGAATATTATTTCTTAGTTAGTTGTTACTATTTTTCGCTATTTTGCCACAATCATAATCAGGTATGTTTGCAGGAATAAGCATAAATCCAAGCCATCTTGAATAATTACAATTTCTGCCGAACCCTACCGTAACCAATACGTATTTGCATACTTGTTTATTTGTTTATTCATTTATTATCCATTATGCCAGTCTTCTTGCACTGCATAGATCGATCACTTTCATTCGATTCGTTATCATACATCCGTCGTCCACAAATGTTTTCGATTTGGCTGTGGGTTCAGCTCCTAGTTGAGGTTTTTTCTTCGTCATGAATCTCGATGAGTGCTCATTGAACTAATTTCTCCTGGGGTTTTGGAGTTGCACCACCTTAGAGCGTTCTCACGTCTTCATCATACGCAGTCATTAGTCTCTATGAAGCGAACTCACCGTTTTTCTAGGCAATTTTCCATCCGCGGATGGGCGAGAACATGATTGATCCAGGACAGGATCAAGCCAGCGGCAGCACGCATACTGCATGACATCTTCCCATTTTATTTCCCATCTATTGCCAACTACTAAGTAGTCGAAAAGCAAGGTCTCTGAGAGTTCATAGCGACGACCGAGCGGGTAGAGAATGAGAACAGATTGTAACTAAAGCCTCATTTTAACTGGGTTCACTGCCGATTTGGGCCCCCCAGATCAATTTCGCCGACGGGTGATTGCTGATGGCAGAGTTCGATAGAAGTAGTTGAGAGACAGACGAAACGAAGGACCCGCATGGTGTGGTAGTGAACGCGTTACTTCCCGGAAAGGACAATAGCGCGTTCGTTCCCCACCGCAGACGCTTGCGGTCCGGAAGTTTGCAAATATCTCTGCATCGTTGAAGTTATATTTCGCAATATACCCTACCATTAAAAAGAGTAGGCAGTAAATAAAACGGTTAAGAGTGAGGAGAATGAACTGAAACCGTGCCTGTACAAAGACGTAAGCGGATGTGCGTGGAATAGAATTGACACTTGTTCGAACGGCAATCGAATAGTTGCAATTGGAAGCTGTTGTCGAATCGTCAGCGAATGAATCCTGAACGTTTCCAGTTAAATCGATTTTTTACGCATATATTTCTTTAAGTCCACCAACTGTAACTGCTCTTAATCGATAAGCGATTTTAAACGCGTTTTATGGCAGGTTTTGACAAATAGGTAAGTTATCGATTTTTCGTTAGTTTTTTGCCCAAAGTTACAAGTAGACGGAGTTGAAAAAATTGTTCGATTACGGGCAAAACTGTTTCAGAAAAAGCGATTAGATTTTATTTGAAGACATCGTCGTTCGATGAGTAACTGAATCTTCATAAGTAGAGGAGCTCCTGCTTTCTTAGAATTCTACTTCGGCTTCTTGATAAAGGATAAAGGATAAAGTTCTCGGCGTTGATCAATCCCTGAGGGATACGGCATATATTCGACTTCATTAAGCATCGTTTAGAGGTGATTGAAGGCATATCTGGCGTTTACAATGATTCGCAGTGGCGTACCGTGTATGGAGCCGGCGCTATTATCCTCCCAGACGAGTCTGGTACTAATTTTTCGACTACGGAGGGATGTAAAGCTTGATGAGCCGCGGGCGCTGGGGATCGATCCTATGTGTATTGCAGGGCGCCTCCGACCACTGTGCTACACGCGCCCTTGGGCTTAGGACACCCTAGGACATTAGGGGTTCGATGATATTGTGACTTTCCCTCCATCCGTTAGGAATTTCGCGTTTTATAGTACTGTACAAGCTAACTAGGAATGTCCAGACGCAGTTTTCTTTGTTTGTCAAGGAAAAAATCTACCCACGAAGGGACAATATTCAAGTGAAGTGTTAATTCTAATAAGAACTATATAATTCTTTCTGTACAGGGCCAGAGCTAAGTGTTCAAATGTTAAGAAAGCAATGAAAATGTGATTGTTGGAGTAAAATAATAGTGGCGGTGATAGTCCTAACGAAATCATATTAAGCGGTAAGTAATCGTTGACCACTTCTGTTTTGTTATGAAGTATTAGATTAGTCGTGAAAGCTCGTTGGACTTAATCTCTATCTAATTCTCATGGAAGATCCTTCAGTGGTTGAAATCGGTTTCTGGAAGGCTTAAAACCAGAAAAAGACGAAATAGAACCAATTTCCAAAGAGTGATTCCCCAAATGAGGTTTCATCTGTTGTTATGACAAAGAGATGATAACAAGAATAACAGGGAATTTTGATTTGTTAATCTGGATCTTTGATCTGGAAAATAAGAATTGCTACGATGGAACTGTCTCAGAAATGTTCTCGCGTTTTTTCCACAGACTAATGAACAAACTAATGTTAATTTCAGACTCCTCAAAGCTTAAGAATCCAAAAAATAAGCATGCTAATTCCAACTCACCGTGTCCATCCTCTGCGGCCTCAATGTGATGAATGGTAGTCGCGCGGTCGTTTTCTAACCAAATATGTGATAAACTGCTGATATTACCAGATTTAGATCGATTTTTAGCGCTGTAAATGTAGGAGAACTGCTTGTTTGAGAGAGTGCGGCTTCGTTATGGAAAAATACGGGTTATGTGAATCACTCTATTATTCTTTTATGATTTATCACTTTCACTTACAGTATTTTTCCATCTTCCTTCAAATAAGAACTCATCTATAACTTTTTTTTTATTTTATATGACCCGTCTTCACGTCAACTGTGCGGATCCCAGCGCTTCTCACATTCGATTCGTTTCTTCGCATCCATCATCCACGAAGATTTTCCAGCTTGTGGCATCGGCTACTACTTGGGGATTTCCATTTCATCTTGAATGTCGTAAAATGATGGTCATGTCGATTCTCCCTGGAGTCTTGAGATAACCGGGCTGAAACGTTCCCAGTTGGATTGCAGAGAGTTATTTTTTCCCGAACAAGTCCGGTACCAATTTCCCGACACCGGAGGGGTGAGAGGCTTGGTTGGTCCGGAGCGGAATCGAACTAGCACCATGCTCGCGATGACGGACATCATTACCACTGTGCTATCCGTCCACTATTTATAACTTTAGTTTATGTGGAATAGAAAATTCTTCATATGGGTATGTGATACATCCTGGATCATAATTTTTTTAGTACTGTTAGCAGGATCTTAGTAGGTACTAAGGATCTTCGCCACAATATCATATATATGGAATTGAATACCGAGCAAACCGTAAGCCACTCCGGCAGAAAGCACTTCATTAGTAAGTAAGCGGAAACTGTTATGGTAGAATACTGCGCGCTGGATTGTACACACGTCCACATTCGTCACATTCGTCCTCCGTGTACGAGTTGTTTCTAGGCTTTTAGCAGATCTATCCGTCCTCATTTTTCATGTCAACGATGTTTTTCATGTGTTGGTCTTGTTGGTGTCGTTCAATGGTTTCTCTGAAATCATTAATCTAACCACGGCTATTTATCTCAATAAACTAGCAATTAATCCAATTGGACACGACAACTGTTTCATTGGCTTACGTCAGTGACTACGTTGTTGCACAACGTCGGCTCGTCTTCGTTTCTGTGGAGAGAAAGTGAAATAACGAATGAGTTCGATTTAATGTAATCCGATGCAGAAGTTTGAGTATTCGACGAGCATAATAGACGCATTCTCTAAGCAGGTTCACTTAATACAGTCGTCCTTTTAAATTCAGCGGTGAAAGTTATGCAAGGGATTTTCTCGAGAATAACAGGCGCGAAGACCGAGGTAGCAGCGAAGGGGCGGTTTGTAACGTTTTATTTCTTTCCTTTCGTCTTATTTCTTGTAGAATAATTTTTGTGGAATATCCTTATAGAGTAAAAGCATAAAGGATGAAGCTGTCGGCGTTGATCAATCCTTGAGGAATGCGCCATGCATTCGACTTCATTAAGTTGGAAGTGACTGAATGCAGATCTAGCCTTCACAATGACCCGCGGTGGCTGTGACCTAGCGGTGTATCGAGCCAGTGCCGCTATCCTCCCAAGCGAGTCTCGTACCAACTTGCCGACTCTGGAGGAATGGAAGGTTTTGTGGGCCATGGGCTGGAGGATCGATTCCACGTGTGTGTTGCGGGGCACCTCCAACCACTGCTCCACGCGCGCCCTCTATGTAGAGTAGCATAACGTTTTTGTACTGATAACTTCGAAATACTTGAGATGATTTATGCAACAACGATAGTGACAAAGCAAGCATTTATGAACTTGTTCTAAAATATTCTTAGGTCTTTACAATTACGATCACAATAACGAGTTGGATAGTCGAATGTTTGCAAACATGCTCGATTGTTCATTCTGACTGTGCTAAACAGAGCGGCACTACAGAATCCAGCAATGTAGTTTGATCGATTATTGATCCGTTGGGCTGAAACGCGAGTGAGAAGGATTCATGAGCTTAGATTCATTATATGCCACACATCTGTTTTTTATAAGCAAAATGTGAAATTTTTCAGGTGTTTGTTTTATGATGGTTTTCTGTTCACTACTTGAGTACGCTGCTGTTGGTTATATTAACAAGAGAATGAGATTGAATGAAAAGAACAAAAAGCAGAGGTTCGTATCATCGCTTCCAGCTTTCATAAAGTTTCCCATTGAGTGTTTTTTCCTGATTTTTATGAAATCGGTCATGGAAATGTGAAGGACATACAGTCCATGATTGGCTTTCATTCTGTAGTTGTTTCTTTCCTGATCATTTCTTATTTCTTGGTTGGGTAGCATTAGATTCTTTTTGAAATAATAAACCTTTGTTCATTAGCTTTGACGAGAAGATATTTAGCAACAGCTATGTAGGTTCTGGGTTCTGCACATACTCATAGATGCGAAGAGCGCATATAATGCTTAGAAGTACCCTACAATACACATGTGATCCTTGGTACGATCCCATCTCCGGTTTCACTAAGCCTGCCATTCCTTTTGAGTCGGAAAATTGGTATCATTGTTGTCTCGGGGGTATCAGCACTACTTGATACATCGGGAGGTCATCGCGAGTAATTATTTAAGCAAGATATGCGTTCAGATCATCTCTACTGATGTTTAATGAAATCAAACACATTGCGTGTTTCCCTAGCGACTGATGAACGCCGAGAACTTTGCGCTTTTATGTTCATGAATTAGTTGTTAGGCTCTCCTGTAGCATAAGACACGTAGGGCCCTACTTATGAAAAACAACCTCGAATCGGCTCTCATGCGTTTCCCAATGATTTGATTACATGCTTTTGGCTGAATGGTGTAGTCTTCAATCCGCCTATGCATGGTCACCAACTGTATCACCTTTAGTCCCGTTGATCGTCGAACGAATCGAGCGGGAGCCAGTAAATCTATGTTTTCCTGTCGCGTGCAAGAGTATCTCAGTAGTCTATTCGCTCTAGGAACTCGTTGAGCATCAAACTTTTTTCGAGGGCTTTCGTAAAGAACTCCTACCATTGGGTCGGTCGTCATCCTGCAGTACGTTTGGCATCCCGAGGAAACCACTCACTAATGGCTCTTGTCCGTCGGCTGTCGTTCAAACGCATTATGTTTCCGGCACACCTTATCTTCGACACTGTCATATAGAACAGCATCTTTGATTTTTGATCGTAGACGATGGTCGGAACTTCGGATCCCATCCCCTACTTGTTCGATACGGGATGCTCCTAGCGTCGTCCTTTCGACTTCGTGTTCAATAAAGCTGAACGATCTTTCATGCTGCTCACGCATCGACCAGGTTTCTGACGCATACGTTAGGGCTGGAAGTACCGTTGAGTCGAAAAGGTGCGCACGAAGTTGGGAGTTCTTTGTTTTCCTCACTACTTCTCCGATGCTCTTGAAAGCTTCCCAAGCCACTCGCTTCCTTCTGTTCAACTCTGGAGCCAGGTCGTTCATCATATTGATTTCCCGACCTAGATAGATATAAATGAAACATACAGAGATATTCGTTCCGTTGAGCGTGAATGGGGCATGCGAAACCAATCCGTTCCTCATAAACATCATTTTTGTGAGATTGAATCGAAGACCAATCTTTCCAGAGAGTTTATCAAAGTCGACGAGCATTCGTTCCGCTTGGGTGATGCTTGTTGTTATAAGCACGATGTAATTAGCAAAGCGAAGATGGTGTAACTGCCGACCATCGATTTTCACTCCCGTGTTATCCCATTCCAATGTTCGCATGACCCTCTGGAGGGTGGCGGTAAATAATTTTGACGAGATGGTATCGTCTCGCCTAACACCTCTTTTGACGTCGGTGTTAATATCGTTTTAGAATGAAGATATCTTGGTTGCGAAATTTTTCTCACGAAGAATCTTCACGAAAGAAAGCTCACGAAGAATCTTTACATACTGAGTAGGGATTCCGTGACTATCAAGGGCTTCCATAATTTCTTCGACCTCAGTTGAATCGAAGACCTTCTGTAAATCGATGAAATGAGACAGAGCAGTCTTTTGTACTCCGGCGATACTTCAATGAGCCTTGTTATCGTATGGATGTGGTCATGGCACTAAATCCTTTTGTTGACCCTGCTTGCTCACATGGCTGCCCTTCCACCAGTGTTCTGTCAATCCTGTTTAGGATGACTCGAGTGAAAAGTTTGTAGAAGACAGACAGCAAACATATAGTGCGATCGTTGCCGATATCGTGGAAGTCACCTTTATTGAACATTAGCACGGTCTTGTTGGTCCAGTGTGCTTATGGGGGCTGACTGAAGATTCCTCAAGTGTTCAGATCTTATCCTGTCTCGATCTGGAGCTGTTCGATTTTTTACCGGCGAAATGGGATGTCGGAATTCGGAAGGGAGAACCGGTGGTACAACATATCCATCTCCTTTATTTCATATGAGAGAAGGTTCACGTGGCTATCAAAGAGATCTGAGTAGTATTAGTGAATGATTTTCTCCATTGCCTTTCTCGGCGCTGTAACTGCTCCGTCTGGGCGTCGGAGTGCAATCACCTTAGTCTTGTATTTGGTGAAACTTCGGTGGGCTTAGCGAGCGTTTTTCCCAGCCTTTGCAGCTTCGACCATAACTGCTGCTCTTCTCTCTTTAGACCTTCTTTAATCGCCTGTCTGCACTGTTTTGCTAGTTCGTTCGTGGTTGCCTGCAGCTCTTGTTATTCCACGCTGGCGTATCAGCTCGAGAGTTTCTGGAGGCAGAAGTTTCTTCGTGACTTTGGAACTCTCAGCTTTCATAGTGTTAACGTTAAGATGTTGAATGAGTCGATCGTATTCTTTGTCGATGTAATTGACAACGGTATCTTTCCAGCAGCCGACTAATGAGTTGAATAAGTCCCAGTTCATAGTGGTTTTAGGACCTCGTTTTTTGAATTTGGCGCCTTTTTCTGCATTTTCCAAGAAAAGGAATCTTGCACGAATGAGGCGATCCCGTATAGAATTTTAGGACAACAGCGACATCGGTTAGGTAAAACTTTCGGTTTACTGTGATGTGGTCTATTTCGTTATGGTACTCTCCACTAGGAGACTCCTACATCCAGCATTGAGGTGGGGCTTCTGGAATTGCGAGTTACCATGGAGTCTTAATCGTCATGATATACTCAGGGTGCTGCTCACCCAGTTCGTTCCATTCTAATCCGTGGGTTTCAACGTGACGTCTTTCAGATGTTCTTCTTGGTCCAATATTGGCGTTAAAATCCCTAATGGTGACCTTGAAAAATGTATGGTCTTCTCTGTAGAAGTTTTCCAAGTCCATGTAAAACGGTTCGACTTCTTCTTGGTCATAGTTTGATGTTGGCGCGTGAACGACAAAGATTGTGAAAGCCGGTATCCACATTTTTTTAATCGTAAACATCCGATTCGGGTTGTTAGTTGTTCGAATGGATCTATGTTCATGGACAAACTCGTGTCGACGAGAACGCCAAAACCACCAACCCCTCTACTGTCCCATGTACCGAGGAATTGTTCTTCTTCTGTGTCATGGACGGCGTTCAATGAATAGGTGGCGTCGTCTCGTCTCGGCCAAGCCGATGACGTCACACCTTATCTTTCTGGCTTTCGTGATCAAGTTTTCTATCGAGGACTGGGGTGCAAGTGTACGTCCATTGTAGGTACAGATAGTCAGCTTAGTTCCTTGCGATCCAGGCAGCTTCCATTGGGCCTGAGATTTTAGCAGTCTCTTTCTACTCGTCCAACGCTCCGAAATTGGGGGTTCCTTCGGGGTTAAGGGAATGAGGCCCGTTTCTTTTATTGTGTTCAGCATTTTGATACCCACGTATAGCTTGCCGGGCTCTGAACGTGGGGGCTGGATACACTCGAGGGTAGCCTGCCAGTCTCTCCCAGAGTGGACATGGAGCTTATTTGTTGTAGGGGACTCCTAACCGCTTTGTATATACTTCCTTGTCACTTGTTTGTAGGCTTTTAGCCGAATTGGCTCGTAGAATACAATCCGCATAAGCAAGAACACACCCACACACGCATGCATGAATACGCCTCGTAAATACAGAAAATATGTGCCAAATCAGCGCTGCAGAAACAGGGTGTCCATCCTCTGGATCCAGCTGCGTCTCAGGGGAACATATGGTCGCCTTTTGTCCGGGACAAATCCCCTATCCGCCACCTGGGGACGCGCCACGTTGCCTCACCACCAATCGGCTCGAGATTCCTCATATGAGGGGCCTCCAAGGATGCATAACCATATATACATATGTATATGTATATATATATGCATATGCTTGGATACTTGGACGTCCTGTTCTCATTAGTTGTGCGGAGCCTAGCTTATTCTCCATTTTTCAGAGTTTTGCTGGCTTAGCCATTGTGTTTACCTGGAGTCCTGAGGTCAGCCTGGCTAAGGTCTGTCGCAGGTCGGCCACTGGCAGTCGCCGCTGCCTTTCTGGATCAGAAGGAGATTTGCCAATATGCGACTAGTTTAATGCCAGGGCGGTGATGAATCGTAGTATTGGTTCACTCTTGGCCGATTCCTGATAGAAACGCCGGACTCCTTGTCAGCACGGGAGACCCTGCCTGGTGGATTAATCCACCTGCTGTACATCGCACTTCGACACCCAGGAACACCTACCAGCCGCGATGAGGCGGTAAACCGTTGGAAGGATATATACATATATATGTAAATATATATATATATATATATATATATGGGAAAGATCCATAGATACCTTGTCAAAAACTCTGGTTCTATTTTACGATTAAATTACGTGTAGAAACGTGTAACGGGGCTAAGTAGGTGGATTTAAGTAATCTCGTTTGTTATAGGGTTATTTAGAAAGTGTTGAGCATGTGATGCTATTTGACTACATGAGCAGTTTCGAACGGATGAAGTAGTAGTTCAATAATTACGCAAAGTTCTAATGTACATCAGAGAAAACAAAGAAAGCAGAAAAGTGAACTCGTTTGCAGAAAGACGCCAAGGGTGGCCGTCTTACCTACGGAAATTTCTTCGACGAGACGAGCGGCGTCGACACCTGCATATTTTAATCGTGGCTATCGACCGTTCTACTCGTCCACGGACACCAATTCGAACCTTTATATTCCGGAAGACCAATGCCATCCTGCGACCACGTTACAGGTTTTTGGAGGAGATATTCCGTGAATTTACCACTTGAAATGTGTGGTCACCATCTAGCCGTAGATTTCGTCATTTCACTGCAATGGTAGGCGTCAGAGTCGAATAATGATTGGCTTTTCAGGAAGTCGAATGTGGTGCTTATTGTCAGCTTCCAACAATAGATGAAGCTGCTGAAGATGACCGAAATGTGAGGTAGTATTTTTATAAATTTTGCCGGTTGAAAATCTTTAGAGAACAGTAGCGGTTCACTCTTCGCCCACGTTGATTGGGACTCCTTTTACAGGATTTCGTACATCTGTTAATATTACTGAACAATTAAGAATGTGCTAAGACAAGTGCAGAAAAAAGTTCATGTTTGGTCGTTCGTGAAAAGGGTTATTTCGTTCCACTTTAATGATTTTATAGATGAATACTACGGATCATTGAAGAACTTTTGGTCACGTATCACACACAGCGTTAATAAATAAGAAAGAAAGAAAAAAGTTTAGTGAGTTGCATAATTATAGAGGTATTTAAGTCACACATCCGTTCTGTCGACACTGATGATGTTGAAGCCTGTCCATAGATGGCCAGCTTGGAACATTCTTCGGCCGTCAAACATCGACAAATATTCGCGATGGACTTTTCCCACGGTTAGTGGGGAACATTAAACGAAAATTTGGAAAAATATAGGTAGAAATCAAGTGCGTCAGGTTCCGAGGAGATGGAGGATCATTGTTCTCGAAAACCGACAGCTTAATGCTCATTGTTCCGTGTTCCAATTACACTGGTCCGGTCATGATTCCGGTAAAAATTCTTCAATCTTTAGTAGCCTTGAGACAGTTGTGTCAGGATATTTCGATATGGCCACCATGAAAAGACACGCTCAGCTTCGTTCGAGGACGGCGACGATCCTTGACCATCCTTACTCGATGGATAATCAATCAAGCCATTGAATATGATGCTTGCGAAGGAAATAATTAGCCTTGTTTTTAAATTTTTGCCTTGTCCTCTCGCGATTAAACGGACGGAACAATTGATTAGCAAACGAGGAAGCTGATGCGTGTAGCTGATTGTTAGCAATGAAAAAAAAGTAACTGGCTTCATTCCCGTCCTCAAGTTACTTAGTTGGTCTGTTTTCCGAATCACTTTGAGTAGTAAGTCGACATGATTGATTCGATACTAGAAGTATAAAAGTAAGTGAAGGGTTAAAGATAAAGCACTCGGAGTTGATTAATCCTTGAGAATGCGCTATGCATTGGACTTCACTAAACATCATTAGCGGTGATTGAATGCATATCTGGATTAAACGGTGATTTGTGGCGGCCTTTAAAAATGTACTAGATAGTAAACACTGAAAATGCGAAAAGTGTATTCGTCGTCTATCACCTGTTGTTTCCTCTACTATTCATCAATCATCGAATAACATTAGTGGGCACCCGTAAATTCTCCATTCGCTGCTTCCCGAACCAAAATTAGGCTCCACTCGATAGGGGTAGACGAAGAGCACGACGCTGCTTTTACGGGGTCATTTACTTCCTGTTGTTCCTGGCGAGAGATCAGCCACGGATAAGTCAAAAGATTTTGCTAAGGAATAGATAATTTTGTCCTGCGTCCGTCATCCACTTCCGATTGGCAGATCTTCGTATTTGTGCGTATTACCTGGCTGTTACGTGAGGATTTTGTCTTCTTCATGAATGTCATTGAATGACAATAGAATCAATTTCCGCCGCAGCGCTGGAAAAGTTCTAATAGACCGTTCCCAGGTATTCACCCAAGAATATGTGCCTACCTTCGTGGATTGGATGGAGTTTTTCATACACAACTGTGCTATCATTTTGCTGATCTCGACAGGATTCGGGCAGGGTTGATCATGAGCGCAATCAACTAGACTCTCTGGACATGTTTAAGTAATAATGCACTTGCCCTAGTAAATAATTTTTAAACTTATGTCAATCTTTCGCTATAAGATTATGTGACGACTTTTACAAAGAGTGTTTTTGACTCCTGCTTGAGTTGATGGAGATGTTCTGAAGAGATAAGTCGATTCTTGTTTCAGATCTTTGTGCTGTTCAACGTCGGCTATTGGAGTTACTTCCTCAGAATCAGTCATCATGATGCTGTGCTCAACACCGATTTCTGACCTTAATAAACTCTAAAGAGAATTACTACCAGTGTTTTTGTGATCGTGAATGTATTCTTGACGTACAGATACACATACGTGCACATACACATACACATACATATATACGCAAAAACATATGTTTGCACGCGTTTATCCAACTGCTGCGGTATTACCTCTCATCTTCCAATACCGTTTCAACCTATTGGACTTGGTGTAACTAACCTGAAATTGAGTTTTCTCTATAGAAATAGACTCTTACTTTAATAGGTAATAAATTTCCATTTAACAAGGTACGAGTTTTTTTGTCTATAACTTTTACCTAGGTTCTTTTTCTCGAAATTTTATCGTCTCGACACTTTTGTCATCCCACGACGGTAAAAACGACAAAACAGAAAAAATATGCTAAAGTTATTCATCTAAATCTCCCAGAATGTTGTTGAACTTGGACAGAATTCAGATGGCTACACAACAGCCGATATCGACTATTTTTGGGGTCGACATAGGACCGACACACGTCAAGGTGCTGTGGCATTCGATAAGTTCATGCTACCACAATTCAAACAGACCGGTTATAATGTGAATATCACGAAAGCGGTCACATCATCAGGTGAGTAACAACGTCAGCTCGCTTTATTACTTCGACGTTCGGGTTCGGCTATGACAACGACAATCTTCCTGGTTTTGTTGATTCTCTTTTCAAAGTGGAGATCTACTACATATAGCGATTACCGTAATCGAAAATCAGTGAGGGTTGTGAATGCACTTGCTAGAAGAACCTCTACTCGGTGATTCGTCGATAAATATTAGTCTTGTACCTTAGTGCTATTGAGGTTCCACTAACGTCTGCAGTGTATGTAAGCGTAGAACAATAGTTGTACCAGAGCGTACCATTCGAATCGAGAGAACTAATTTGCCTATCACTCATATTTTACTGCCCATATAGTTTCCCTTTAAAAAAAAGAATGGATGCCAACGTGACATTATCGAGAAGATGTTTATGACGAACATTCCTCCCAAACAATCTAGATACCAATTTACATATTCCTGAGCAATGAAGCGCTTGGTTTGCCTGGAACGTGCGATTGAACTCCCGACAGCGTTTGTATTGCAGAGAACGTATAATTACTGAGCTAAGCGGAACTTGTATCGTGTTCGTTTCAACGCTATATGACGACTGACGAACGATTAGCAAATCTCTTACTTACTTACTTCGATACTTGGATGGCCCGTTTCCACTGGTTTTGCGAACCCCGGCAACAATCTCCATTTCCGCGGAGTTTTGCTGGTTTAGCTACTACGATACCCTGGAGTCCCGAGCCCACCTTGGCCAAGGTCTTCTCCAGTTCGTCACCACCATAGGGCAGTCGGTCTCCGCCCATGTGGATCAGAGGGTGATTTGCCACTATGCGACTAGTTTGAAACCAGGACGGTGGTGGATCCTGGTATTGACTTACTCTTAGCTAAACTTCCTAGTGAAAACGCCGGACTCCTCAGCTTGGAACCCTTGGACAAGTGCTTTGCTTAGACTAAGCAAACTATCTTTCCGCATTAAAGTCACCTAGTTACCGCGCTCAGTTCTGGATTTGGGATTTTTCAAACATTGGTCAGAATAGTTAATGCTTTTTGACGAATCTTTGCAGGTGAATATGTTCGGTTATATTTTGAAGTTCTTCTTGTCAGAAATATGGGTTTCTATTCGATGAATATTGTCATTCCATCTATGCTCATTGTCACTATTTCATGGGTAAGTACTCTTTTGACATAAAACATTGATACTTGATAGAATAGACCTACTCGTAGAGAAACTTTCGACTGGTATACAATTTCGCTCACATCAATGCCTCTCCCCATTCACATAGTAGCGGCTGTTTAAAGTTAAGCTTAAGCATAAAACGTTTTTTAACCACCATTTAAACCCAAACTGGTTGTTTTCGTCAACTTTATAAGAAAGATAGAGAACCAATTGAGGTGTATAGTTCACAGAAATCCGTAATTATTACAGGTATCATTTTGGTTGAATCGAGAAGCTTCACCGGCACGTGTTGGTCTCGGTGTCACTACTGTACTTACCATGACCACACTTATCACGACCACCAATGTAAGCGACTTTACTAAAAAAAAAAAGCGTTTAAAAGAAACAAACATATTAGGAGGAAAAACGGAACAGAAAGAAAGTAAAGGCAGAAGACTACTCTTTTTACAGAATTCGATGCCAAAAGTCAGCTACATTAAGGGATTGGATGTCTTTCTGAATTTTTGGTGAGCAGTCAGATTATGTGTCAACAGAAAGCTGTTGTTTTCAATTACGATGGCAGGCCTAATTACGACGATCTTCACTGCTAACGGTCACGTATACTAGGAGCTGTTCGACTAATCTTGATGATAGAAGCGGGTTCGGTTCAGTTCCTCCATGGGTTGAGAGAAATTATGGTCAAAAATATGATGAACAGACAAAACTATTTAATTTCACTCATCCAGACAAAAAGTTTTATTATTTCTAAATAAAGGGTAGGGTCGGTGTACATACTAACTATTTAAACGTTCTCTTAACATCACACAGGTCGGCCATTGAAAACGTGGACGAGTTGGACGAGTTTTCCTAACCTCTTCACCTTTGCAGTTTTGTCATGGTATTTGCGTCTTTGGTCGAATATGCTGTCGTTTCCTATATGAATAAGCGAATTGCTTTGCGTCGAGAGAAACGACGACGTCAAGCTGAGCAACAACAGCGCACTGAGATGCCGATGTTCAGTAACGCGCCATTCCCCAAACCGACTAGTAATGTAAGTATACATTCGAAAGACACCTAATGAAATTAGGAATTATAACTATTAATTATCTTTGAAATTTTAACTTATTATTTACTCTCTACTCTTTTTTAATGGCAGGGTATATTGCGAAATATACCCTTGGGTGATTGCTGTGGCAACGATCGATAGAACTAGCTGAGAGACAGGCGAAACGAAGGATCCGCATGGTGTGGTGGTGAACGCGTTACTTCCGGGAAAGGACAATGGCGCGTTCGTTCCCCACTCCATACACCTGCGGTCCGGAGTTTTGCAAATATCTCAGCATCATTATGGTTGTATCTTTAAATTTTTTCTCTTTATCAGAGAAGAGTCGTTGGAAAATAACGAAAACTGGTCATTCTGGTCATTATTTTTTTTGGATCGAACGAATTCAGACGGCTTTAAAAGTGTAGACGAACAAGTAAATGACTGTGAAGAGTCACATGTAAGTGCGTGTCATGATTTTTACTGTAGAAATCTTTGCCAGTGGCAGTGACTAAAGTGGTACTAGTCTACGTCTTTTTCGCTCACGATTGAAGCTAATCAACATTAACAATGATGCTGATATATATATATATATATAATATATAGATATATTATATATATATATATATAATAAAAAGTTAACATTGTGATTTTCACTACAGCTTCAGCTTAACTGGGTTCCATGCCGATTTATGTTTCCCAGATCTATCTCGCTGACGGGTGATTGCTGATGCCAACGTTAGGTAGAAAACTAGCTGAGGGAAACGCAGAGCAAGCGCCTCCGTGGTGCAGTGTGTAAGTCGCGAGCCTCCGCAAAGGGTAATCGTGGTTCGAACTGGTCCGGAGTCCATGCTTAGCGAGTATCTCAGCACCGTTGTGATACTGATAGCTTTGCAAAGCGGAGCGTAGGTGTCTGCGGCGGGGATCGAATCTGTAGTTGTATTTCACCTCATACTCTGCCGTAAAAAGGATACTGATCAACATCACTCAAGGCATCTATGAGGTCGTTATCTTAAAAAAGAGTTCATAAGAAGTTCAGACTAAAAGAATGTTTTTCAAATATCTCGTTTTCTTTCTCGGCAATTGCAAGATTGTTATTCAGCACACGTTTACTTCCTTACAAAAAGAACACATACAAAACACAACGTTAGCTGACGTTTCGGCAGTATCGCTTTCTTCAGAGCCGTTTCTACGTGCCTTCCACTGAGGAAGAGCTGCTGATCAGAACGTTTTTCGACATTTGTACTATACTTGTCGGATGCCACTTCAGGCACACTAATCATTAAGTGACTTGAGGGGGTTTCCGTGACACCTCCTTCCTTCCTCGTCGGACAATGGAGCCGCTCATTGGACTTTTCTTACACGATGAGCACGAAAAGACTATTTTCTCTGTGATGTTTTTTCCTTATTGTATCTAAGGAAAATATAGCGAATTGATCCTTCGGGCTGTCCGCTACCTGAATATTCACAAATTATGAAGTTTCTGACTTGGCGAACAGAATCTGCTCCATTCAGCTTTTATTTCTCTATTCTGCACTTTCACTTTTAGAAACCCAAATGAATGAATGAATAACCGATTAAAAATGGAGAGTGGAATGGTTGGCTGCTGTTAGGGGTTGTAAAATGTAAAATCTTCGTGTGCACAAGCCCTGCCTCGCTATATCGCGCTATGTGCGTCGTTATTTGGAGGAATCCAAATTGTTCATCTAATGCTTTGTCGCTTCCAATAGATCATACAGATCGTCAATATTGAAAACCCATTCTAGATTTAACTTTCAAGGCATTTTTGTTTTGTTCCGTCTTTGAATTTTATATTATGTAAATGTTATATATTTATTTATGGGCGCATGTGGCGCAATAGCCGGAAAGGCACTGCAACACACACGTGAAATCGGTCCCCGCGCCCATGACCCACCAAGTCTTCTGTCTCTCTGGGGTCGGCAAATTGGTACCAAACTCGTCTAGGAGGATAGCAGCACTGGCTCGGTACATCAGTATGCCACCGCGAGTCATTTGTAATGGCCAGATATGCATTCATTCGTCTCCAAACGATGCTTAATGAAGTCGAATGTATGGCACATCACTCAGGGATTGATCAACACCGAGAGCTTTATTCTTTATCCTTTATATATTTATAGCCTCCAAACGGTTTAACTCCTCATTGTGGCTGAGAGGTGTTCCTGCGTGTCGGACTGCGATGTGCAGCGGGTGGATTCACCCACCAGGCAGGGTTTCGCTAGCTGAAGATTGGTCAGGCGCTTCCATAAGGAAGCCCAGCTTAGAGTAAACGAATACTAGGGTCGACCACCGTCCTGATATCAAACTAGTCGTATGGTGGCAAATCTCCTTCTGATCCACAAAAGCTGCGGCTGCCTGTGGCAGTGACGACTTAAGGCAGACTTTGGCTAGGCCGTCCTCGGGACTCAATGGCAAAACACAATAGACCAGCGAAACTGCGAAAAACGGATATTGTGCTGGGGCCCGCAAAGCCAGTTAGGAGTTGCCATCCAAGTATCCAAGAGTACATTTATAGTGCCTCATTTGGATAAGCATGCAGATAAACTCCGCACTTTCAACATCGTTTTGAAAGAACTTTATCCAATCATTATAAAATGGGATAATGTCTTTCATTGTAGATGATGCTGCAAATGGGGAGCTTATTGGTTTCTTCACTTTCTTCTTGGTACCAAAAACTTATATTAGGATTTTGTTTTTGAATTTTAACGTTTATAGGCTTATGAGATGGCTGTGATCTCGCAGAATTCAACGCCATCCAAAAGCTACGCGCCACATGTGAGTTAATTTTAATTTCATCAAAAAGTGATCATTTCCACTCATCACTTTTCACTTACAAATTAACGATGACACCTTAGTCTATGACATTCAATGTTTTTTTTGAATGAATTTGTTTTTAACTTTGATTCTTTTTATCAAAAAACAACAGTTCGTCCTGGATGGACAGTGTGGGCAGTCCTATAAAGCGTAAAGACCAGCTCTTATCTCTTAGTAATGCAGTGGAGTAGGAAACGCTTCCGAATCGACAGTAACGGGAGAACGTGGTGTTATCGGTGGCAACATTTATCAGTACTATTCATAACAGACCTCTCTCCCAGTAACATTTTCTGTCTACTGTCTGTTAAAGCCAGAATTGCACCACGTCTCTTCGATCGTAAACGTCTAATTTGGTTTGTTAGTTGTTCGAATGCATCAATGTTCATGGACAAACTCGTGTTGACGAGAACGCCGACGCCGCCGACTCCTCTACTGTCGCATGTTCCGAGGAGCAGTTCTTCTCCGGTGTCACTCGGGTGGAAGTGCATGTGCATTGTGGGTGCAGATCGTTACCTTAGCTCTTTGCCTATTAAGTAGCCCTGAGATTTTAGGAGGATCTCCATAAAGTATGAAGGATTACGCTCTCGGCGTTTATCAATCCTTGAGGGATCCGCCATGAATTCAACTTCATTAAGTATCGTTGGAGGTAATTGAATGCATATCTGGCCTTTACAATGACCCGCGGTAGCCTGCCAATGTATCGAGCCAGTGCTGCTTTCCTCCCACACAAGTCTGGTACCAATTTACCGATTCTGAAGGGATGGAAAGCTTGCTAGTCTCTCCATACTAGTCCTAACTAACGCTGCTATCAGGGGCTTTTTTGGAGTTAAGGGAATGAGGATCTTTCTTTTACTGTGTTCAGCTTTTTGATGCCCACGCATAGCTTGGTGGGCTCTGAACGTGGGGCTGGATACACTCACGGGTATCATAATAGTGTCATGCCTTCGAATCCGCAGACGACTTAATTTTTACCGTTTTATTTTGTTCACACTACCAGTTTTTTGATTTATTTTCCGCATGTCTTTTCTTGTACCCAACATTAGGAATAGAACTGTTTCTTACTGTAATATCAGTTGACGTTTTTTTGTGAACGACATTTCTGGAATCAACTGATTGCATATGCTAATTCAAATATGAAAAAAATGCCTCTTACTGGATATTGAAAATATCACATATTTGCAGATATTTACATATTAGCCATTTTTAATGGCTACGAAACTGTAGCTCGTGATAAGTGTAGGGGAAATCCTAGGCCCCTCAACGACAACTCTAGCGATAAAAAGATCCTGTTTATTCTACCCTTCATCTCAAATGATGTAAGTTATAAGACGCTGCTTAAAAAGGGTGGGTCTAGAGAAATCGGTAAACGTAGTTGAAATGCCACCGAGTAATCTTAAGCGCCAGGTAGTTCGTAACCGCTTATACGATCGTCTATGTGCAACGCAAAATTGCATAATTTACCCCATTGGTAAAGACGGTGATTGCATGAGCTCGGGTATAGTTTATCTGATCTCCTGTAAGACGTGTGGTGACGAATACATTGGCGAAACGGGCAGACCGCTTTGTGTCCACATAAAAGAACACCTAGTCGGTAAACGTAAACCAACTATCCCACCAGGCATGCATAGGACCCAGGGAAATAACGGAGAAGATTTCGAAGTAGGGGTTACGATCCTCGCGCAGGAATCGAGAACGCAAGCGCGCAAAACTCTCGAGGCGTTCTGGATTAATTCCAGAAATCCGAAAATGAACCGTAGGGAAGAATGCCTCATTATTACGCGTGATATTCGTTAGTATATAAGGCTGTTATTCTGATGGAAGGGCATATTACGCTTCCATGTGAATTCTGTGCAGTCGGTCTCCACGCGACATACTCCGTGGAAGACTCATAGAAAGTGATGAGTGTGTATAGATGTGTTCAATGTAACTGAAATCTTGGCTTAGCGCTTTCTGTGTTTGGTTATGAAGGTGTTTGGCCGAATAGATTGCTGTCAACTTGACCTTTCCAGGCTCTGAGGAAGGCGAAATCCGCCGAAACATCAGCTTATTCGTGAATAAAGAGTAAAATAACACCTCGCGTTAGCTCAACAAGAATACCGTTTTATTTAGCACCAGTTAATGGAAATACCGGTAGACTGTGACTGTAGAACGATTCCGCTCATTCAACATCCACGCCTTGTCAGCGATACCGCACACACTATGTGGCCGGCACCATTCGGGAAACCAAAGAAGGTTCGAAGAATTCTCTACGATCATAAAGAGATTTGATTCAGAAGACGTTCTTTCATAGCCCTTTACTTGACATTAATAATGAATTAGCGACGTCGAGAATGAAAACGGAACCGCGACGCTGCCATTTTGATTCCATGTGCGTTATATTCCAGCGCAAAGACATTACGGTACATTTGCACTAATCGGGAGACTTAATGCTTCTCAGAGGCGTTTCACAATTTATACGAACTAAATACGATAAAGCTTGCGTCCAGCACTGACGATACCATCAGAACTGCACGCTGTGCATTGAACTCCATTCGTGGAATCGGTTGAGGTGAATGTGGTCTATACAGTGCGGAAGCCTGCTATTGTATCACGTTCAGTGTTTTTTTATACCTTTAACAACTTTACTACCAATTTTGCGGTCTTGGAGAAACGAAAGCCTTGGCTAGGCGGATACGCGTGAGCGGACCACCGACCACGTGTATCGACACCTCTAACTCTACTCTAATACATCTCTAACTACCGCACTACTAGTGTGCTGCACCTAACTATACTTGATATAAAACAGCTAACCCCATGTTAGATGACATCTATTGAATCTGCGTCTTCATCACTTTTTTCCTTTCCATTCAATAATCTGATTTCATTTTCTCTAGGCTTCAAAAACCTGTCGAAATGTGACACCAGCAAAAATCGACAAATGTAGTCGGTATTTGTTTCCGTTGCTCTTCTCTGGTTTCAATGGTGAGCTCCGATCCTACTTTTTCATTTCATCTTAAATTTTACTGTTCTTTGTTTTTAGTGCTCTACTGGACCATTATGACGGTATTGAGTTCGGTGTCGGAGAATCTTAGCAAAGATGAATGGGTCCCGATTGAAGTCGAGGATTGACCGATACTAAAACACCCTCGCCCCGTTGTCCTCCTTGTCCTTCATGTCCTTCTCTTTCTCCCCGCTGAATCATATTACGTGACTTAAGTGGACCTGGTGTACACCTCATTACCGATGATATTTATGTGTATATGTATAGAAAAAACACGTTAACGACAAGAACAACGTTATCAAACCCTTTGCCACATCGATTAATCGTCTATGCATTGATTGAGTAAGAATCAATACAAATCGATAAACACTTGCATGTGCATGATGGTTTGGTAATAATGTTAGTCGTGTACGCTGCTGCTGTCGTTGTCATTAATATTTCATAACTATTCACCTTTCGAATATAATCAACGTTATATGTGATTTTTGATTCATTGATCGATTATTTATCACATGAATAACCTCCACTTGCGAAAAGACTAGGACACGGAATTTGTCTGTGTCTTTTGCTCAATGCTTTAAAAGCTCTTATAGCTTTTTTCCTTTCACTCTCATTTGCTCTCACTCACTCTCTTACTGATGTACATAATGTTTATAACTTTCAGAATTGCCTAGGTGGAAATACACTGACGTTCTTTGGGTATCGACTGATCGAAATTGATCAAGAGCAATAAAAATGAACAGTAAGGATAGAAAACAAACAAAAAAAAACATTTAGACGGTTACACGACCGCGACGATCGAGTATCACTGGTGTGGAGCAAAGAATCCCAACTGTCCGACTGCCGTTCGAGCCAACGAAGTCGAACTTCCTTCATATCGTTTTGCGCAATACTGCGTGAATCGAACCCTGGCTACCACCGCCTCCGGTACGTGTGATGAAACATGAAAAGTCGTCCAAATAATGTTGGACCAGGTTGTTGACTTCAAAGATATCGTTTATGGAAAGATCGGTATGTTCGCTTTCCGCTTAAGGGAGCAGAGGAGAATTAAAGCTGTAGTGTGCTGAACCGAAATGAATGGAAATATTAAACTTCCCAACAGCTGACAGTTCACGTCCATGCAGATTATGTCGTCCGTTGTTCAGCGACCGTTCTACAAGATAGCATGTGGCGCAGTGGTCGGATGCACGCTGCAACACACACATGGAATCGAGCCCCATACCCATGGCTCACCAAGCCTTTCATCCCTCCGGAGTCGGCAAATTGGTACCAGACTTGTCTGTGCACTGGCTCGATACATCGGTAGACCAGTGCGACTCATTGCAAAGGCCAGATACGCATTCAGTTACCTCCAAACAATGCTTAATGAAGTTGAAACATGGCGCATCCCTCAGGGATTGATAAACACCGTGACCTTTATCCTTCCATCCTTTATCTGCAAGGTCATGTCAGGAAATTCGTTAGGATTTCATGTATGGCTTCGATGTCACCTTACGACATATCAATGAACAAATTCCACTGTCCCATATTATAATATATAGCAATTATAATGGAAATAACATACATTAAAATATTCTCGAAGAAAAACAATTGGATCGGACTATTTCCCTATTCATAATTTAATTCCTCAACCCAGAACTTTCTGGTATAAGTCGATTGCAAAGTGAAAAAAAATGTGCAATTTCTTCCATTCTGCTAAGTTCTAAGCTTTGAGACTATTTTCTCACAGTTCAGTGGTGAAACTTCTGCATTTGTGGGCGATTTGAGCTATTCGGGTGTAGTGAAATGTCTAGTTGGCTAATGCTGCACCACAATACATACGTGGTCCTTGGTTTGACTCCGCGGCTCCTCCTAACCAAGCCCTTATCCTATCGAAGTGAGCAAGTTGGTGCCAGATTTGTTCGTGGGGAAAGCAATGCTGACTTTATACATCGGTGTACCACCGAAAGTGATCGTGTAAGCCACACACGTATTCAATCATTTTTACATTGTCACGAATAGAGTCCAGTGCATGAAGTATCTCTACGGAATTAATCAACGCTTTATGATTGCCTCGGTCAATTCCTATTTCATCTGAAAACTGGAGAAAACATTCGTCTTACATCAGTAATCAGTAAGGTAGTACAAAAATACAAATAGTGTAGTAAAATAGTAAGACATACGAAGAGCGCATTCAGGTTCGTACTCCCGTCTTCTTCTCTTGTTCATTTTTGATCGAGAAAGTGGCTTCTACATGCTACAGATATTCGTGCCAGCGGCATTGGTTGTCGTAATCTCGTGGGTAAGTCGATGTATCATGTTAGCTATCGGCCATACGATCGTTTTTTTCTTTTATGTCATAAAATAATCCAAATGCCGTGCGTCCTAGTTGCAGTGTATAGGTGCAGTTTTCTGGAAAAGTATTAGGGTTCCTGAAAAGTTTTTAACACCACCACAGGAAGAGCTCAAAGATTTTGTCTGCTGCTCTTACGCACAGATCGCTCACTGCTGAAATAACTCGTAACAAATCCATAGGTGTCGTTCTGGATCTCTCGTGACTCGGCTCCTTCAAGAACCATTATCGGCGTGATGACCGTGCTCACAGAGACACACTTAATGACCGGTACGAATCGACGTCTTCCGCCTGTCGCCTATGTGAAGGCTGTAGATGTCTACCTTGGATTCTGCTATTTACTGGTCGTCTTTGCTTTAATCGAGTACGCTTGTGTTGCCTATTCAAAGGTGAGTTTGAAATTACATTTTCAAATTTCAAATTCGTCATTTCATGTTAGAAGTCAATTGACTTGACATTTCCATTGGCCATGGAAACAAGACTTGTTAGTGACCTTATTTTCACTTCAGAAGAAGAATGAGGATCGTCGTCGTCGTGAGAAGAAAACCGAGCAGAAGCTAATGCCAACAACTCCAGACTTACTTCATGGTTCGAATTAATTATGTCCTTAATCCTAAGACTGGGAGAATATTTCCCTTCAGAACCCTAATAATCGCTTTCTTTAAAACTAGATTATTGTTATTATAATAGCACCAGAGGAAACCTTTCTCACGTAGAAGATTTCGAGAAGGTTAGCCGCAAAGCTTTGCACAGATAGGAACCCAAATGTGAACCAAAAGCGACCACGCAATTGCTTTGAGACCCAGAGCTATCCAGTGGGCAGCTTCATTGTCTTTAATACGTTGGATTTGCTCGTACTTTCGACTACATACAATGGCATTCACGCATACAAATGTAGATGTGCATGTGTGTGTGTGCGTAAGTGGATTATAATAGGTTGTACATCGAATTAGCAAGCAACCAACTTAATGTGAACTGCACATACTAAGCTTTGATCTCTCCCAACGAATAGACGCACAGTCAATGGCTAACGTGAGAACAAATGACACAAGTGTTAACAAACAATAACCGATTACTTCTGTACCCATCCCAACATACCTGTATAGTTTCGTCTTTACAAGACCTCAGATCATTACATGGCCTTTTGAAAGCTTTGTGCCTTCTTTCCAGAAATGCAAATACTCTAAGAAAAATCTCTCTTTACAATCACATTCTACCATTCCACAAGGAAATCTGGAATCAACGGAAACACAGACAAACCCCCTCTACATCTCCTCTTAAAAAAATGGAAAAACTTCCAATCAACATAGATCTAATCGTTACAGATGTTCGTCTAGCAGAATGCACATGTAATGCGGAACATGCGTCGATCATCACCGTCATCAAGCAACCGAACCGTTTCTGTGTTCGTCACTCCCAGATCGACATCGTCAGTCGAGTCGTATTTCCCACTGCAGTATGTTCTGTCACCCATTGAAGTCGACAATCAATCACGAATCACAAAACTTTTCTTTGTTTCTTAGCAAATGGTTCATATCCATTAACAAATGCAGCGCATTGATTTACCAGAGAAATCTAGTTAACAATGGTGACTTGTGGCGTAATCAATCCAATTTTCGACAGACATCAAAGCCATTTTGTTCATATTTCTATCATTGATGATATTAACATACAATAAGTGGCGTAAGATAATGACGAATCAGAAGTAACCGAAGCCGCTAAGACGTTAGCCATCGAAAATCAAAAACACTTGTTAACTATTCTCATTAAGAACATTTTTCAAAAATGACTATAGTTTAACCTTGGTATGAATAATCAATATCCTTCCAAATTGTTTCGCTTGTACGACCTTGTTATAAAATTTTTATACGGCTAATGCTTCAGCGCCTTCGCCTTCTTGAGAGCCGCGAGCATTTGAGTCGAGAATACACACCCGTTCGTTCTTGCGATCTGCGTCTTCGCAATAACATCGTTCTAGAGAGGAGCATACCTCGAACCTACTTCGAGTTCTTTCGCTCCAGTTTGAGTGGTGCTCCATTACAAAACTCGATGCGACTGTGAAGGCTCAAATCGCAAGAACGGCTGCAGATAGCCGACTCGAATCGTCGCAGCTTTGAAGAAAGAGAAGGCAATGAAACTTTTACCGAATAAAAATCTTGCGAAGGCATCATGCAAACTGAATAATCTAAAAACTTATTGAAAATCAGCGAGAGTGCGTAAAATTCTAAGAGTTAGACTCAATGATGATTTCAGTTCCTTGCCTTCAATGTCATCTTCTGGGTAATACTTTTGGCGAAAGCAAAGCGCCTACCATACTTCAGTCCAATGGCGGCAAATCGATGCTAAGTGACTGGTTGGGAGGAATTAGAGGAGTCGTTGAATCACTTCACACACACCTTTATCTTCTGTTGCTCAATCTCCAGTATAGTGTACTCTTTTACTTGTGCTTCTTCATTGTTGTTTCGTTTCAAGCCTATCCTTACTCACATTTCGTTTCTACTCACACGTGTCACTGCTTGATGTAACTGGTAGCTTTATTAACCCAACACATTACCACACGCTTATTGCACGGATAGATTCTCCACCCGCCATATTTGTTGCACTCATATCCTGACATTCTTGTGTCATCTCATCGTTGGATATTTCGTTCACACACTCTTGGTGTAAAGTGGACTTTTTCATTTTTGTTCTCGCCATTTAGGAAAAGATAAAGGTCTAATCGACAGTTACATCACAAAGAAGGATTTAATTTTATTCGTAACATCATAGACATGAATTCAATGCGTATTTGGCCTATCCACTGTCTTGGACGGTTACCAGTCTACTCATATATCAAGTCCGCTTTTTTAACCTCCCAAACAAATCCGGTAGGAATTTGCCGTGACAGCTGGCTCAGTTTGCCCAGGGAATTTTATAGGGCAACGACGCTGCATGAATCGCATGGCATCTCTAACCACTGCGCTACACCCATCAACTCCAGCTGAATACTGGTAAGAATCAAAATCTCATCACTTCTGACAATAATAAATCTCAAATATTGCACAATTTTATCTCATCTAAAAGAAAGTTAATGAAACAAGGCCAATAATATGGCACAAACACATACAAATACGTATGTATACATCCGTATTGACATACATACACACGCTCACACACACCCATACACATACATGAAAAATACACTAATATCCGTGCATTATTTTCACAACATAATTTGTGAAAAGTCAAAAATGAGACACTAACAGATGACATGAAATCTACATTTAAAGAATAACAGATGACATAAATATGAGAATATAACCCCCAGAAGAACTCACTAGACACGACATCGTATACCCTTGCGGAACCGTTGTCAAGAATCGGTTCAACAAGTTTCAACACGGATTAGCTCCTCATCTTGACCAACAAAAAACAATTGGTAAGCATAAGGGAAGGCTTAGCGTAACATGGCGGTGATATCAACAATGAATCAATGTCCATCTTGATCAGACAACATGCACAGAAAAACTCTAACACCTAAGATAAAAAGGCATGCTAAGCAATGAGAAATCTCACAGAAGTATTGCAGCTCCAGATGATTGAGAGTTCAACATAACAGTTATCTAATTACACCGAGAAGAACATGACAGATTTCTATAACGGATCAAGTCAAATGACTGACAATGAGACACGACAACAGAAATTCCTTATGAAGAGATTCTTGTCGTCTGAATGGCTCAACGTTGACGTTTTACAGCTTATCTTTTATTTATTCCAACAAGTGATAATCAACAAAGATCATAGGTGTTAACAATCAAAAATCGTCTATTACAGAGGAAAAAAACATAAACGCACACACACCCGCGAAAACGTACAAAAGTGGACATTGCCTAACATAAAGATAACACAGACTTTTAACAAACATACAAACTATCACAAAACTAACATGGTCATCACTCGCACGTTACATATATGGACTAGCATACATAAATATATATTCACTACGTACACGAAATAAGACAGCTGAGTTCAGTGACAGTTTGCAGGCATCATGGCTGTGGTAGTTCGCAACAACAGTCCAAGAGCACAGGTAGAACATTACACACAAAACAATCATGACCCACAGCGGGCTCCAATCGAAAAGAGCTAAATCAAAAAATGAGAAAATAATTGGCTAATTAACTATGATTGGGAAATGAATGACATAACAAAGTGCTTTAATCGCTAAAACTTTGTGTCTCTAGACTCCATCAATCACAAGGCTCTGCCCGTAACGCAGTACATCACCGGCTTTGATGGCGAAACGTATTTTGGCTGGTGCTTGGAAAACCTAGAGACAAAACGAGAACATTCAATTAATGAAGAAATACCATAGAAAAACTGAGAAAAAAGAACTCGATATGGAACTAAGAAAAATTTCATATTATGAGAAGCCAACTTATTAAACATGGAATTTCATAATAATGAAATTCCCTTCCCACTTGCATGTCAACGCTTAGCGTTCCTAACAACGTCGGCATTAAAACTGGATTTGAGCTTTTGCAGAGCCCCCGGAACCAGATAGAGACATATATTTCGACAGAATTACCAACATTTCAAGATTTAATCTCAAATCTTCCTCCCAACGGTTTACTGCCCCATCGTGACTGGGAGGTGTTCCTCGATGTCGAACGGCGATGTACATCGGGAGGATTCGTCCCCCCGACAGGGTCTCCCAAGCTGAGAAGTCCAGCGCTTCCATCAGGAAACTTAGCTAAGAGTAAACCAATACCAGGATCCACCACCGTCTTGGTATCAAAGTCGCATGGTGGCAAATCTCCCTCTGATCTACAAGGGGTGCGACTGCCTGTCGTGGTGAAGACCTGGAGCAGACTTTGGCCAGGCTGTCATCGGGATTCCAAGGAACCACAATGGCTTAAACAGCAAATGCCTGAGAAATGGTGATTATGCTGGGGCCCGTACAACTAGTGAGGACCGGCCGTTCAAGTATCAAGTAAGTAATCTCAAATCTTACGTTGTCAGAAAGGTTAGAATTCGCGAACTCGTTATAGACAAGTCTAAGCGCAGTTGCACCAAAAATCTCGACATTTCCAGTTTTCTAGCTTGGGTGAGAATATATTGTCACCAAGGAGAGGTTAAAGGAAGGTAGGGAGAACGTGGACTATTTGCAGAGTCAGTGGAAATTTCTAAACGTTGAATAACATCTAAGGCGTTGAAGACAACGATGAAGTTGAAGCACCTGAACAATTAACGAAAGCATTCTAAGCGTCAACATCGCAATAGTTGCCCACAAAATTTCCGAGAAAAAAATACGCCTTTTTATTAAGTACTAACTCTCAACCAATCGCAGACCTGATCTAATTATTAGTCGTTGGAATACTCCAAAGCAAAAAAAAAACAGGTAGCTATCGCTCACCAGCACTACGGTAGAACCGAGACGAAATTCCCCAACTCGATCACCGGGCAGGTAAGCGTTGTGCATGTCCACTTCTGTGTGCAGCATTTTATCCTTTTTCCTTCGAACTAGGTTCGTTCGTAGCGTTGGTTCCTAAATCATTCAGAATTCTTGTAGAAAACAGAGATCTAAAATAACATAGCTTCTATTTTAAACAGCTACGCTGCTTTAGAAGGTTAATGGAGAAAATATAACACTTAAAGAGCTACAACAAATTCGAGGTAGAACACACAACGAACCGAATTTTCACCGCAAAGCAGGACTCCAAAACAGAACCTTAGAAGAAGAAAAAATAGCAAGGTATATATTTACAGAAAGAAGAAAAAACTGGCACGCTAAGAAAGAGAGGATGGTTCACTGGATTCCAGAAAAATTTAGTGCTAAACACATCAAAGTGCCCACAATTTCAAGATATCACAAACCACAGTTAGTTATAGACGAGATTGAAACAGTGGAAATAAACACAAAAAAACCTGACAGAGAGAGACTACAGTATACCCGAGAAAAAACGTTGATAACACCTTTTTTAAGGAGCCAAATCAGAAAAATGTTCCAAATACGGCCCAAAAATACAGCACAGGAACTCACTGCATCAATAACAATGTCACCAACGTTCGTGGCTGCGACCGCCGATAAGGAGAAGAATCCGTACTTCCACATACCATTCAGCACTACTCTCTCGTTTAAACAGAACAGGTGAGGCACGTGGCTTAGAAGCGATGGGCGAACCGAAAGCAAGAGCCCTGTAGGGAAAATGAAGCGTTATCACGCTTTGAGAAATAAAATCACTTCCGAAAGACAAAGCAAATCAGTCCACTAACCAGGCACATGTCGACACATCTTTGCTACCCAGTGAGTTGGTGAGTGGAAAGCATGATAGTTCCCGGGAGCCAGATAGATTACCACTTGGTATAGATCAAGATCATCCTAACGATTAAAAGTATACAGATGAACATAGTAGCCTTTATTATTTAAAAAACCAAGCACCTAGAGTTGAAAAATCATATTTAACACACTTTCTTGGTAATATGGTTTATTCACTACTTAGTCACAACAATGATGCTGAGATATTTGCGAAATTCCGGACCGTATTCTTTTTAATGGCAAGGTATACACTCAGTAGGGACTAAATGAAACGGTTAAGATTGTGATTATAACTAAAAAGCCTCAGTTTAACTGGATTCATTGCGATTTGGGCACCCCAGATCAATCCTGCTGATGGGTGATTGCTGATGGTAGAGATTGATAAAACTAGCTGAGAGAGAGGCAAAACGAAGGATCCGCATAGTGTGGTGGTGAACGCGTTACTCCCCGGAAACGACGATGGTGCGTTCACTCCCCACCACAAAAACCTGCGATCCGGAGTTTTGCAAATATCTCAGCATCATTGAAATTATACTTCACCATTAAAAAGAGTAGGCACTAAATAAAACGGTTATGACTACCTTGTCACAGTTTATCTGATACCTAGTCACCTACAGCTCCTTGACATGACGCAGGTGAAATAACGCCTGATCAAATATTCTTCCTCACCTTCTGGGTCATTGCGACATCGCCAAGAAATGAGGCGACATCGTAATCATGCCCCTTCACATATTCGATTTTCCCATCCTCAACTTTGCCGTAATGAAGTACAACGCCATCAGCCGGGGAAACCTATAGCAATTTTTTTAATTTTTAAGTAAAAATTCACAAAGAAATCAAAGTTCTAATAATTATTTGACTCTAGTTCACACGAATGTTTACCTCTACACTACTAATCGATCGATTTGCATTTTATATGATCTCATTATGAAATAGAAATTCATACATGAGGTAATATTCAATAGCTTGACACACACACACACGCGAAAAAACTAGGTTTTAATCTACAGGCACTGTCCTTTTCAATAATGTAGGCATGAACCACTATTAAAGTGAATGAAATATTCGGAAAACCACGCGCTAAACACGATAGAGTTCCATGTAATGGGTTATAGCGCTTCATTCAAACGCGAAAATGAATTCCATGACCCAAATTCCAAGGTGTCGTCTTTTCTTTTACAAGACGATGTCGACGTTACCTATACATCAATAAATCTCCAATAGTGGAAGGATTCTCCTAGGTGTCAAACTATGATGTAGAAACCTGGGGTTCATTTCCAAGTACGACCATTCGAGTTCAGAACGTTCCGATTCGCAAGCTCAACGAAAGGTAAACCAATGCCAATAATCGCTATTCACCAGCGTAAAAAAGCTTTGCCCCAGAAGTACAACATTCTTTTGGATCTGAGTGCCAAAGGCTGATTACTCACGATAAATTAGGCATACTCTGTGTTTAGAGGAAAAACACGTACCTAATCAAAAAAGGCTTCGGCTTCTACATCGTGCTTGAGTGGTCGGTCACTTTTTCATTTCTACTTTTGTTTCTGATTTCGGTTTTAACATCTCTTCGAATCAACTAGTAGGGAGACCGAGCGAAGGATTCGTGGCCGAAAACACACCTCCCTCTGATCCACAACGTGGTGAAGACCTGGATACGCCCGTGCAAGGTTACGTCAGGACTCCAGGGAGGACCAAGTTGCACGATCAGCATTAGGCCAAGCCTCAGTATCCCGCACACTGGATGTTCCCGTCTATGACGTCAGGCGGTGAGACGACCGGTGAGAGGCCAGAAGATCACGGGTTACGCAGTACGTCATTGGAAACGGATCTGCCGAACAAACGCACGACACGTCATGGAGATTGTTTCTTACTATGCACGTATAATGCCAGAACACTCTCCCCAGACGCCGATCTTCACGCCCTTCTTGTAGGCGCAGATCGCCTTATATTCCATGTGATCGCATTACAAGAAACAAAAATTAAGAAAACCAACATACGCCAACTAAACAACGGGACCCTTGTGATCCGTGGAGAAAAGGTCCCGTCACGAAATGTCGGTGGCGTAGGTTTTGTCATCCACCCGTCCATTGTCCATCTCATCGATTCATACGTGACCCTTTCCCCTCGCATAGCCGTCCTTCGTCTACAACTATCGCATCATAAGAAGATCACTATCATCAACTGCTACTCACCGACCGACACAGCTGATAAGTACGAATTAAATGCGTTCTACTACCAGTTGGAGGAAGTCGTCCGCAATAAAAAGCATATTATGAATTTGTTGTCGGACACTTCAATGCCAGAATAGGAAAGGCCAAC